TGGAGCAAGTTGTGTGAGGGCACAGAGAGGGCAGAGACTGGTGAGGGGGTGGGTATTAGGGGAAAAGGAGGCACCAGGAGGGTGCAGGGCTAAGGGAAGGTGCAGGTGCCAGGGGATTCTGGGGTGAGGAGGAGGGAAGAGCTGGCCACCGGAAGCAGAACTGGACAGGGGAATCAGGGCAGGCTGGGGATATTGAGGGGCCGGTGGAAGCAGGGCTGCCGGGGGGTGCGAGGTTGGGGGCAGGGAGCTGGCCGGGGAAGATTGGGACGGGGGGAGAGAAGCGGCCGCCGGAAGGAGGGCTGAATGCGGGCAGTGGGACTGACCAAGGGAGATTGGGAGGAGAAGCGGAGGAGAACTGGCTGCCCAGGAGGGGGCTAGGGGAACTGGGGCTGGCTAGAGGTGCAGCGGGGGGAAGAATGAATCGGCCTGCGGGGAGTGGGACTGACCCGGCCATATGTAGATATTGGGGCGCTGCCCCCGTTTCCCCCTCCCCCTCGCAAAGCACAAAGCATGAGTTAGTCCGGCCCAGGGATTCTATTGTCCCCCCACACGCCCCCGCCTCGAGTAGTTGTGAACTGTCTGGCTGGTAGACACACTCATGCAGCCTGAGCACATTTACCAGCCAGGCAGTTCGAAACTACAAACTGATACATCTAGTAATAATACAACTTACCTAATGAGAAAATACCAGACATGCTATATGTCTGGTATTTTCTCAGTTTGTTTTTTATGTGTTTATATTTTTGGGCTGCAAAAAGCAGTACTGAAAAAAAAGGGTTCCAACTAAAGTAAAATGTTTGGGAAACCCTGGTCTAACCAGCTTTCTGTCTGTCTTACAGTCCATTTATCCAATCCATATTCCTTAACTTGCTGGCAAGAATATTGTGGGTGACCATATCAAAAGCTTTGCTAAGGCTGGCACTGGGGGTTTTGGGAGGACCAGAAACAACTTATTTGAATATTCATCATTTGGTTAATGAATATGCAAATGAAAATTACCGGTCCTCCAAAAGTTCGTGAATGGATTTACTGGTCCCCGTGTCAAAAAGTTTGGGAACCCCTGAGATAGAGCAATCAAATGAGGTAATGATTTTTATTGTGGTAGGAAAACCAGACTCCTATAATATCAAAAGCCTAAAGAGCAGAGGAGAAAGTGATCAACATTATAAATGCAGAAGAACATAAATGCCAGACTGAACAAGTGGTAAATAGGATAGGGTGCAGTTAATGCACAAATGATAAAATACAATTCTGTTAATGCAAAATATGTGTGTATCAGATCTTATTTAGGCTTTTCAGTTACTTCTTCTATTATCCAGGATCTTATTCAAGAATGCTTATAAGTGCCACTTAGAAGAAACTAAGAGTGGGCATATATTGGGGGACTGGCCACTGACACAAATGTGTGCTTAAAGGGGTCTGAGAAAAAAGCATCTTTCTCAGCCAGCTGCTCAGTGCCTTATGAATTAGGCTGGGCATATAATGTTCTTCCCAGCCCACTGAGCTGTGGTTCCAACTCCCCTCAATTTACTCCACCTTATTTATTTATTTTTAGTAACAAAATACTATGCAAAGTAGTCCCCAATGTTTCAGGTTCTACAGCATTCATTTGCTCATTTATGATGGAGAAGCTGCCACTATAAATAAAATTCCTAGAAAAGCATTTTATTGTGATAGAAATATGAATCTATAATGAACATTTTTTCATCTACAAAATGGTCTGATTGGTCAGTTTGTTCTGTTCACTGTTTTCCTCCATTTGTAAAATAATGACAGAACTACAGGGTTAAAATACTGCATTATGTTTGCACTGATAATGCATGGGATTAAATTCTGCACTCAAATAAGACTGCAGAACCTATATTACTTACAGGATTTGTATTAACTTCAGTATCAGATGTACAGGTTCTTCTAAGAATATGGCCCAAAGTAAATATCACGCAATTCCCACAAATTGTTTATTGAAAAAAATTGACTTTGTGCTTTTAAATCATTTGAAGGAAATCTTTTCTCTGACTTTGATGAAATATCAATCCTTTTCTTTTTGCTTTAGTTGTCATGGATGATGATGACGATGAATCCTGTCTCCTTGATCTGATTGGGTAAGTTCCCCCCTTAAAAAATTCTAAAAGAAAAATTATGCAAAAATCATTATAAAAATAATCCATATAAAAGATTAATTACCAGTAGTCTTTGAAAGTTGATGTCTTGAGAGAGTTTGGAGCCCTATAAGTGGAGTGAACAGACAGCATAACTTCTGATTGCACCTAATTGGTAGTCCACTTGTTTTTGGCATGACACTGAATACTCTCTTGCCCAATAATGTTCCTGTCAAATCACTTTTCAGGCACATTGACAAATAGGGCAGCCTACTCTACGTTTTTAATGCGAGGGAAATACAGTGAAGGCTTTGTTATCTGGCACAAATAGGGCATGGGGTGGCCGCTTAATTGAATGTGCTGGATTACAAAGCATCTGGAGGACAGACATACAGACACACAAACAGATAAACTCTGGAATATATAGTAGATAGTAAGAATATTAAGTAGCAGTTAATTGGCTAATGTTAAGTAGCAGTTAATTCCATCGACTACTCAATCAGTCAATAAGGAAGGGCGGCGTCAGCGCTCACTCCCTGCTCTTGCTGGGTCTCAGTACAACCTCCCACTGCCACTCTGCATTTTTAAAGGGAAGCTGTCAGGAGAGGGCACTGGCTGATTCCCTGGTCCCAGGTCTCAGTACTCATGCTGGCTTCCCTTGAAAAATTCAGAGTGGCAGTGAGCGGGTGGTGTTTGTGCTGAGACCCGAGAACAGAGATTCAACCAGCATCCTCTCCTTCTGACTTCCCTTTAAAATGCCGGGGGTGGGGGGAGGGGGAGAGAATAAGCAAGTGTTGATTGTGCTATCTGATAAGCTCCTGCTTATTGTGTAGTCAACTAGTTGACTACTCCTTTACATCCTTATTAGATAGCTATCCCTTTCGCCAGCCTACCCACTGCTGGCCCAGTGTGGTTATAGCTATCCTGGACTCCATTTATGGTCCTTGCTGCCCCCTTTATGGTCCTTGCTGCCCCATTTATGGTCCTTGCTGCTCATTAAACAGTATAATCATCTCTGCTAGCAGATGCCTCCTTTCTGTTTTATGAGAAACAATCACATTCCAGGCACATTGTATTGTCCTGGCATAACCAAACCCTTACCTTGCTTTAGGTTATGATATGAGGAAGCCACAAACGTGTTGGTCCTAGCTCTGCCATTTAGGAGTTCTTGAACAAACAGACTCACAGACATACTCTCTCAAATATATAGTAGAAGATAATTACAAAGCAATCCCTGTAATTTTAAGTCACATATTTCTGTGCGTACATTGAGAGTTTTTACCACCAGAGTTGCATTACGTGAATGTGTACTTTAATACACTTGAACTCAGAATACTTAATTCATCTAACTACACTTCTTTTTTTAAAATTTTATATCAATATTTTGTTCAATGAATGAGTATCAAGTTATCAAAGAAAAAACGTTTTGGAAGGGTAGCTGTGAAAATCTGTAACTTTAAAACCAATGAGCAGTCTTGTGGCACCTTAGTGACTAAGAATATGTCTACACTTGCACCCTCTTTTGATAGAGGGATGCAAATGAAGACATTTGAAATTGCAAATGAAGCCGGGATTTAAATATCCTGAACTTCATTTGCATATTTGCGTTATGACGCTATTTTGAAATAGCGCTATTTCGAAATAACAGATGCTGTTAAGATGTGGCTCTTTCGAGAGAAAACCCTTCTCTCGAAATAACCCTTATTTCTCATACAATGAGGTTTACCAATTATTTTGAGAGAAGGGTTTTCTCTTGAAATAACTGCTTCTTAACAGCATCTGTTATTTCGAAATAGCGCCATATTGCGAATATGCAAATGAAGCACGGGATATTTAATCCCGACTTCATTTGCAATTTCAAATGTCTTCATTTGCATCCCTCTCTCAAAAGAGGGTGCAAGTGTAGACATACCCTTCCATATTTATATTTAATCCCGGGCGTTTATATAACAGCAAAAGAAGTTATCTGCAAATTGTAGGACTAGTGTTAATGACTCTAATTAAGTCAAATATGGGGAAATTAGTTAACCAGTTAAGATCTTTATTTAAGCCTAAGTTGAAAGTGTTGAACTTTTAAATCCAGTTCGGATGTCTCCCTCAGTAATCAAATGATAAAATTCCTTTGTAGAAGAATAGCTACTTCTTAATCCATTTTTGAATGTCCAGGGAAGTTAAAATGTTACCCTACAGCAGAGGTGGGGAACCTAAGCCCTGGGGAACGGGATGCTGTTCCTGGCCTGCCTGAATCTGGTCCCCAAGGCTCAGGGCCCCCCACCATTGGGGAGCCCGTGCTGGAGTTCCAGCTCCCCTGCCACCTCACCGCAGGGTTGGCGCACACAAAATCTAAGAAGCTTGCCCCCCCCCAGGCTCTGGTGTGCAAGGGGAATGTGTCTTTTTCTTTCTCACTTGGGTGCCACATCAGTGAGGGTTTTTTTTTCCTTCTCTTATGCAGCCCCTGACTGATTTTTCTGTAGGCCAGTGGCCCCTGATGCAAAAAGAGGTTCCCAACCCTTACGCTACACGTTTTTGTGCATTACCATTCCTGATGTCTGATTTGTGTCCATTTATCCTTTGGCACAGAGACTAACTGATTTGATCAATATACATGGCAGAGGGGCATTGCTGGCACTTGATGGCATATATCATATTAGTGGATGTGCTGGTACATGACCCTCTGTGATGTTGTCACTTATACAGATATATGGACAGAATTGGCAATGGGGTTTGTTGTAGGGATTTTAAGTAGTGGTTAATTATTTGATTGGGTAGTAGATGGAATTTCCATTGACTACTCGATTAGTTAATAAGGGAGGTCACTTGCTACCCCCACAGTGGCTCTTCAGTTTAAATGTAGTAGGAGCTGGGCTTGCAGGCACCCCGGCTCTTACTATATTAAAAATGCAGAGTCACAGCAGGATAGCTCCCAGGGATGGCACGAGCCGGTACTAAGCAGTCCTGGCTTGGGCCGGCTCCAGGACGGCTGCAGTTCTATCCCCCGTACATTCCCCTGCACTGCAGAGATGGTGCTGGGGGGAACCAGCTTTTAAACTGGCTCCCTCCAGCACCCGCTTCTGCTTCTTCCCCCCACTTGCTGCCTCTGTTACAGAGGCAGCAAGTGGAGGGAAGAGAGAAGTTGAGTAGTGACTTGACTACGTAATAAGCCTAACTTTACTGGGTAGTTGACTTATGGGGCAGTCAGCTACTTGAGTAGTCGCTTACCTATCTAGTTTGTTGCAGGGGTGGGTTCCTAGGTAAGTGTGTCTGTTGTGTAGAAATGCTAAAATGTGTTTATTTTTGTAAACGTGTAGCCACTGAAAATTTTAGCAGTAAGGCTATGTCTAGACTGTGGGCTTCTTTTGGAAGAAGGTTTTCCGGAAGAGATCTTCCGAAAAAACTTCTTTTGAAAGAGCACGTCCACACTGCCAAAGCTCATTGAAGAAGCGATCTGCTTTTTCGAAAGATAGTCCACACTGAATGGATACTGTATCGCATGTAAGCTGTGATTACTATGGGCAAAATGGCCACCAAGGCACCTGTGCTTTTTCCGCTTTCCTCTTCCCCATCCACACACACCTTTTTCTGAAAGAGCTCTTTCCAAAAAAGGCTTCTTCCTCATAGAAAGAGGTTTACTAATGTTGGGAAAATCCCTCTGTTCTTTCAATTTTCTTTTGGAAGAACGCGATTGCAGTATGGACATAACTCAAGTTTTTTTTAGGAAAAACTGCCTTTTTTTGGAAAAACTCTATAGTGTAGTTTGGAAAAAACTCTGTAGTGTAGACATTTATATGTGGGGGCTGAGAACAGGATCTGGTGTTCATGGAGAGCTGGCTTAAAAACTGGGTCCTATCAGCACCTGCCCTGCCTACTCCCCACTATGCTGCCTCTGTATCTGAGGCAACAGCATGAGTGGCAAGCAGCTCCGAGGGAGCTGGTACTCAGAGGGAGCCTACGTGTGGGGAGCCAGCTTATAAGCCGGCTCCCCACATGCATGAGCTCCCGCCTTCCCCCTTGCTGCTGCTTCTGATGAGAGTATCTGATACAGAGGCAGCAGTTCAGGGGAGCGAAGGCTTTGTGTATCTGAAGGTTAACTGATGAGTCCAGAGGTACACATTCACATCCACACTTGTGGTGTGATGTATGGCTACTGGTAAGTATTTGCTTTAGGTTGGGAGCAGGGGGCTGTCAGGCCAGTCCTTGCCTACAATCTCCCAAGGTCTGTGAGAGTGAAGGATCATTTTCCAGGATAGTTTGTAGATTGTCAGTGATGCACTGGAGAGGTTTAAGGTGGGGGCTGTAGGTGATGACCAGTGGTGCCCTGTTATTTTCCTTGTTGGGCCTGTCTTGAAGTAGGTGACTTCTGGGTACTCTCCTGGCTCTGTCAGTCTGTTTCCTTTCTTCCCCAGGTGGGTATTTTAGTTTTAAGAGAGCCTGATAAAGATCTTATAGGTCTTTGTTACTGTGTCTGGGATTGGAGCAGATCCGATTGTATCTTAGAAATTGGCTGTAGAAAAGGGATCACGTAATGTGTCCTGGATGGAAGCTAGAGGCTTGTAGATAAGAATAGCAGTCAGTAGGGTGGCCTATACTATACAGAAAGTAGATTTCTTGTGAGGACTGGTCCCGTCTGAGGTTGATGGTGGGATGGAAATTGTTGAAATCTCTGTGGAATTCTTTAAGGGTCACCTTCTGGTGGGTCCATATGCTAATGTCATCTATGTAACATAAGTAGAGGAGAGATGCTAGAGGACGGGAGCTGAGGAAACGTTGTTCGAGGTCAGCCATAAAAATATTGGCATATTGTGGGGCCATGTGGGTACCCACAGCAGTGTTGCTGATTTGAAGATATAAATTGTCCCCAAGTCAGAAATAGTTGTGGGCGGGGACAAAGTCACATAGCTCCACCACCAGGTGTGTCATGGCATCACTGGGGACATTGTTCCTGATAGCTAATAGTTCATTCTCCTGTGGAATATTGGTGTAAAGAGCTTCTACATTCATGGTGGCCAGAGTGGTGTTTTCAAGAAGATTACTGATGCGCTGTAGTTTCCTCAGGACAGCTAGGAGTTCTGGTAGCATAGAGTTTGAGGAGAGAATCAACATAGCCGGATAATCCTGCTGTAAGAATGCTAATGTCTGAGATGATGGGCTGGCCAGTATTTCCATGAATCTTGGGTAGCAGATAGAATACTCCTGGCTGGTGCTCTGGAGATGTGTCTGTGTAGATATGGTCCCGAGCTATAGCAGGGAGTTTCCTGAGCAGATGGTATAGTTTCTTTTGGTATTCTTCAGTGTGAAGGGGTTTTACTCACCACCACAGTTGCCTCCCTCTAGCTGGTGTCTCTACATGTTCTCGCTGCCCTCTCTGGTCCAGATGCATCTCTTTCATGGACTTTGGCATCCTCTTCAGGACACTGCCCTCCGGCAATGCCCACATCAGTCTCTGAGCTCCCCTTCCGGGGGTTGTTGTTTCTTCCGCGGGTCGTGCGTCAGGCCCTGCAGTCTGGGAGCTTGCTTGGCCAGAGCTTCCCTAGCCTTGCCTTGCCCCCCCCAGCACTGCCCTAGCTTCAGGGAGCCTCCTACTCCCCCAGCAACCAGGCTTTTACTGCTCTTTCCCCTCCGAGCAGCAGCTCATCCTCCTATATAGCGCCCAGCTGGGCCCTAATCGGCTGACTCGGCCTCAGCTGGGGCTAAATGTCCAGGCCCTGCTCCGGACTGGGGTTTGCCTTTAAATGGCTAGCGCAGGGCAAGCGCCCTGTCACACTCAGTAGGATCAGAGGAAAGAGGCCTGTAGAATGTGCTTGTTGGTGAGTTGCCTGGGAGCAACTGTTTGTAATCTAACCTCTTCATGAAAACTACAGCATCTCCTTTGTCAGCCTCTTTGATTACAGTATAATGTCAGAGTTGTTTTTGAGGCTGTGGATAGCGTTGCGTTTTGCATGACTGAGGTTTAGTCAGTTATATAGTTGACTTTGAAAAAGATGTAGCTTGTTACCCAAGAGCAGATAATGTTGTACTTGAGCAATTTTTCTTTTTTATCCATAGATTGGCAAGAAAATATCTTAAATATTTAATTTTATTTATTTATTAAATATGATAGCACTATATCAGGACCCTAATTTGCAGAAAATATAGATTGTTAGAAGAGATTATTCCTATATTAGTTCTTATGATTCTTGATCTTATACCAATGTTTGTCCATCTAATGCAAACTCTGTTGTATTACGGACTATTGGGTATTTATTCTAACAGATAGTGTAATCCAGTGGTCTCCAGCATTTTTAAGCATGAGATCACTTTTTGAATTTAAGTGCAATCCAAGATCTAACTCACACCCAAATACCCCTGGCCCGCCTCCTTTGTGCTCCCTTTTCCAAGGCCCTGCCCTGCTCACTCCATCCTCCCTTCCTCTCCCATCAGCCCTCACTTTCACCAGGCAGGGGCAGAAGGTTGAGGTGCAGGCTCTGGTCTTGGACTAAAGGATTTGGAGTGCGAGAGAGGCTCTGAACTGAGCTTGGGGCAGGTAGTTGTGGTACTAGAGAGGGCTCTAGGTGCAGACTCTGGGAAGGCATTTAGATGCTGGAGTGCTCGGGGTTAGGGTAGGGGTCTGGGATTCAGGAGGGGGTTCATGACTGGGGTATGGTTTCAGGATGTGGGCTCTGACCTGGAACTGCTTACCTCTGGTGGCTCTTGGGTGATGGTGCAGTGGGGCTAAGGCAGGCTCACCCCTGTCCTGGCCCTGAACTATTCCCCAAAACAGCCAGCAATCTCCATCCCAAGCCCTGTTGTGCCCCCTCTCTATTCTGTGGGGATAGGCTACAGAGTAGGAGAGGAGGCACCTTGATATCAGTTCCCCTTTTCTCCCTCCCCTCCCCAGCAAGCAGGAGGCTCCCAGGGGTTAGAGGAGACAGCTCCAAGGCAGAGGGCAGGAGGTGCGCAGCAATGGGGGAAGGGGCAGCTAAAGTGTCCGCACTTTATAGTCTCTTGGCCAAACCAGTCAGGATCACCTGCTCCAAGATCTACCAGTAGATCCCAATCTACTGGTTGGTGACTACTGGTTTAATCAGTAGTGGCCTAAAAATTAAAATCCCCGTTTCATGGAAGTAAACATGTAAAGTGCGATTTATAATTTTTTGTAATATTGAATATTTGAACTCCTGAAATTTTGAAATGTAATAAGAATCCCTGTCTTTGAGGAAGCCCTTTTAAAAAATATGGTGAAAAATACAAATTTACATATTGACATAGTTTACTGAAAACAATAAAGACTGATCCTCAGCTAATATAAATTGGCATAGCTTGTTGAAGTCCATGGAGCTACACTGAATTATGTGAATGGAGCATCTGGCTCAGAGTTTTTATTATTGTTTATCTTAATTATGCTTTTTAAACAAATGTAAGTAATTAAAGTGATAACTTTTTTTTTTTAAAGAGATCCACAGGCACTGAATTATTTTCTACATGGACCTAGTAGTAAATCTGTAAGTAGTATTTTATTATACTATTCTAATATAATGTGAACTTCAGTGTTTGCTTTACTGTTAGTTTAATATTATGTTATTATATTTGTGCCTTAACAGGGCAATGAAGACTTGACTAATGCAGGATACTCTGCGGCCAATTCTAATTCAATTTTCGCCAACTCCAATGTAAGTATTCATAAGAAAAATTGTGTAATTTTTGTGTATGTACATGCTTTCATCATGGTTTCTGTGTTCTATATAAAACTAAAGGGAATAGATTGAGGTTTTGATTGTCTTTTTATGATGAAATTCAAAATTCTGACCTCCAGCAATGTTACATTGACTTTTATGCATTGATTTCTATGGGCAATTGTCCTTAAAAAATGGATGGCATGACTCTTTTCTCTGTGGTTACCATAGAAGAACAATTTAATGAAAGCTGTGTGTTTTCCATGTTTACTCTGGTAAATGAACTGTAAGTTTTTGTTATTTGAAACTTTGTAAACTAGTAAATTGAAACTTTGTGGTTTATATACTTTTTCAGATATTCTGCGTGCATTAGTCTATTATCTCACATTATTTCCTGATAGAATTTAGGGTAGAGGCTTACTTTTTATCATTCATTAAAAATTAAAATCCCCGTTTCATGCTTTAAATGAGCAAATAATGTACAGTATAGCTGAAGAATGAGCAATGAAGTACATTCTGTTATAACTTTAGTATTTGGATTGCTTCAATAAAATGCTTCAATAAGATTAAGTAACTTAAACTATTGTAAATGTTTAAATCAGTGATACTCAGGATTAGGCTTTGGAGGGTTTTATGCCAGCAGAGGCTCTTAAACGTGTGTTCTGTGGCTTTTGTGGCACAAGATATTAAAACACCATGTGATGTAATTATTGATGAGTCAAGATACTTTTACAATGTTAACCAGTTGTAGTTGAGGAAGTAATAATACTTTATGAGAATTACATAATAAATAGTAAATGAAACAATGAATTAATATAACTATGGCTCTTTTGGATAATGTTGATAGTTAATTTGGCTTATGAATCACTAAGATATGAGTGTCACTGATTTAAATACCTTTGAAGTGTTATCTAGTAGTCATAGTCCCTTTTATTGTAAGCTATTTGCGGAAATTATTGACTTCTGCTCAGATATGAGCTCTTATCTCTAGTTCATGATTTGCTACATTTTTCATTATCTCATGGTACAACATGCCGTGTCACAAAACCCTTGGCACTCCCCACATTCCCCTCCCACACCAGAGCCTAGGGATGCCCGATCTGGTAGATGTTATGTGCTCCAATCCTGGGGGAAGGTGGTGAAAGGGGGCTGCAGCAGACTCCCCAATGCTGAGGGGGACCCTGAGCTTCGGGGGCCAGATTCAGGCAAGCTGGGAGCTGGGCCTGAGGTTCCCCACCCCTGGCTTATTGTAGTTCTATTTAAATAATTTATTTATGGATGATATTTGAAACTGATGTAATGTTTGTTTTTTATTTAAAATTCCACACAGTAAGTTGTATAGAGAAGCATTTGTCTTACATTATACTGCATACTTAAATAAGAAGGCTCTTTACACATAGTTTTATAGCTTGCATAGTGAATTATGCCAAAAAGGACTGATATACTGTAAACATGGGGCTGTTAATAACTGACATAAAATCAGCATATCTAGACCCTGGCTCTGTTACTCTATCATAAAAGCACCTATAACTTTTTTGTATACCCAGTTTCTTCTTCGAGTGGCCCCATGGGTGCTCCACTCTAGGTGTCGGGTCAATCCCGGCGCCGCTGGTTGGAAGATTTCAGAGCCATCTTCGGCCAGTCTGCACATGCCCCCTGCAGCGCGTGGCTTTTGCGCCTTTGATCACGAGCGCAGACCGGCCCCCCCCCTCCAGTTCCTCTCAACCGTCCTAGGTTGCTGGCGGAGCTTTGTGATCTCCTCATATGCAGAGCAAATCCTGTCAGAAAGAATTGTAAAATAGTTAGTCTTTGTTCAGTAGTTAGTTTCCTGTTAATTAATTAGTTAGTTTTGAAAAAAAAAAAAGAGAGAAAGACATCGTTCTAGTCAATTTCTGCGAGTGCGGCAGTTTGCCTAGTTAATTTCATCATGCCTGGGACACCAGGATTCAAATGGTGTTCCCAGTGCAAAGAGGCTATGCCAGCCTCAGACGGTAACACAGTCTGTCACACAGAGGCAAATTGTCTGTCCTCCTCCACTCCCTTTATTATTTATTGTTTTATATATTAACATATTGCAGGACAAATAAGAAGTGAATGACATTTTTCCCTGCTCTGAACAGCTTATAGTCTAAAAGACAAAGATGTGTCAGGAGGATAAGATAAACATGTTTGTTGGATGAAAATCAGGAAAATGATTTTAGGGTGTTCACACTTTTTCATCTAGTCAGGAACAGTGATCATGATTTGCCACCTGTCTAGCCATTATTAGACAGCAGATTCCTGTGAGCATCATGGTAGAAGTGAGATTTTAGGAAGCACCTGAAGAAGAGGAAAGCAGTGGCTTTGTGGATTTTCACTAGGAACACTTGCCACATGTCAGAGGGAAAGCATGAAGGTTCTCCTGGAAAAAGTGGGCAATTTGTGATATTTCTTTCCTGTGACAGTCACTTATTTCTCCCTTAGGTCCTGCTGATCAGCAGGAGTGGGTAGGAGAGGAGACAAAAGCCTATTTTGGGCACATCTGAAATGGGGGATTAGGAGGAGCCCATAGAAAGTAGGGTTTTAAGGGGAGATGGGAGACTGTGGGGAAGGTGGATGTTACTGAGGAGAATGGGATTGTTTGCAGGGGGGAGGAGCGATTCTTATGGTGCTTTGGGAGAAGCAGGAGACCCTGCTATTGCCTGAGATGCCTGTGATGTGTGCTTAGTCAGGAGGGCAGTGGGAGCTGGAGCAGAGGGCTTTGGGTTGTAGGTTCTTGGGTCAGTATCCTTCATTCTTCCCTCACTCCCATTTAGAGTAATAGGATTTCAGGCCAGGAGCCACCCATCATATCAATATCTATTCTGATGTGTGTATCACAAGCCGCCAATGCATGCACACTAAGCCCAACAATTAAAATTAGTTCAGGAGTTACAGGAAACTGAACTGTTATAAACCATCATCAGAAAATAGAAAGGACTGAGGGGTACCAGTACCAAAGGACCCTTCAGTAGCAGGATATTGAGATACACCCAGATGATCAAGATTAGGGACCTTCACCCCAAGCCAGAGGATGGTAAAAAATCCCAAAGATCAATGCTGGTTTGACAGGGGGAAAATTCCCTTCTGAATCCACATAGGGCAATCAGACTCTGTGTGTGAGAGCCAAGTACCTGAGAGAGAGAATTCTCAGTGCCATCCAGAGCCTCATCCAGGGTCCCAACTCCAGCCATGGCCACTTATGATGCTTCAAAGGAGACAAAAATCAAAACAAAAAAACCACAATAAACATCAGAACAGCTAAACCAACACAAGAATACATTGAGGGGGAAATTCCATCATGACCCTTCCAGGTGACAGCAGATGTGTGAGATTTTAAGAATATCCCACACCATCACAAGCAGTGATGTTAAACATCCCACTCATAAATTGATTAATCTCTAATTAAGTTATTAGAGCTCCTATTGAAAGGCAGATCCTGAACCTCATTCCTCTGATTGTTAGAAACAGTCTTCTGATCTCCAACCTGAATTTGTTCAAAGCCATTTTATAGCCATTTGTTTTTATGTTAGCCCATGTCTCTTATCCTGCCCTATTTTAAGATTTTCATATACCCTCAGCTACGATCACTGCCTTTTCTTAGGGTGCAGTGCTCCACAATGACCTGAACTCTCCACACATGGACTCCTGCAGCCCCTGATGCACAGGTCAAGGAGTGGCCAGAGCACAGTTTCCAGGTGATGGATTGTCCCTTGGGGAGTGTAGTCAGCTGGCACATATTGGAGCAGACCCCCTGCTGCTCTTATGTAGCCAGAGAATCGAGATACAACCAGGTACCAACTATCCCCCCTTCTGCTGTTCTTAGTAGAAGGTGGACACAACAGAGAATCTGGCTTCTAAATTTTTTATATTTCTGAGATGCTGATAAAGTATTTGTGGCAGATGTAATCCTTGTATTTTCATGCATGTATGGTATATTATAATTTTACAGGTGAAACTGAAAGGTTTCTGTTACTTTTTTGGAAATCTTTAATAAAATAGGAAGACATAACCCATAGTATTTCAAAATGAGAGAAATGCTTTAATAAAATAAGCTAGATTCAGTAAAAGGCAGACACAAACCTAAATTGAATAAAATAAAATAAATGTATACTCATGGAGTAGTATGGCAGTGAAAGAAAGGGAAGTAAAGCAAATGTAGAACGTGGGTTTTCTAATATGTCAATTGTCTTGTGCAGCAATTTTCACTATGAGACTTCAAAAGCCAAAACCTCCCTATTCTTGAGAGCTGAAGCTAAGTTCAGAATCAAAACCTGGCTCTGAATTTCAGACCCATACCTTGCATTTATCATGGGTAAAAACGGAATTGGGTTTTGGAAAACATCTTGGCTTTCACTGGGTTGAGATCTGAATTTTGCATCTTAGCAATGCTACTCCAGCAGTCTGTTTTGAGGGCATAAGTGGTTCAAGAGCCTTGTGTTGGCCCTGTGCATGGGTTGAACATTACTCTTCATATTTAGCTACAAAGATATGGTATTATAGAGGGGCATTATTTTTTGCAGGAAAAATTTTAATTGTAAATAGTTTGTATCTTACATTATTTAAAAAATGCAATGTAATTTTGTTTGTTTGTTTTAGAACACTGATCCTAAATCATCCATCAAAGGTGTAAGCAATCAGCTTGGAGAGGGGCCTAGTGATGGACTACAACTGTCAAGTAGCCTTCAGTTTCTTGAAGATGAACTTGAATCTTCTCCTTTACCTGATCTCAGTGAGGATCAGCCTTTTGATATTCTTCAGAAGTCCTTACAGGAGGCCAATATTACTGAACAGACTTTGGCAGAGGAGGCATATCTGGATGCCAGTATAAGTTCTAGCCAACAGTTTGCACAAGCCCAGCTTCATCCTTCTTCATCAGCATCCTATACTCAGGCTTCTAATGTTTCTAATTACTCAGGTCAGACGCTGCAACCTATAGGAGTTACTCAAGTGGTACAGCAACCAGTTGGAGCATCTTTTGCAAGCAATACAGTTGGTGTGCAACATGGCTTTATGCAACACGTGGGAATTAGTGTTCCCAGCCAGCATTTGTCTAATAGTAGTCAAATTAGTGGTTCGGGGCAGATACAGTTAATTGGTTCATTTAGTAATCAACCTTCCATGATGACTATTAACAATCTTGATGGATCTCAGATTATACTGAAAGGCAGTGGACAGCAAGCACCTGCAAACATGAGCAGCGGACTCTTGGTTCATAGACAGACTCCTAATGGTAACTCATTGTTTAGTAACTCAAATACAAGTCCAGTAGCACAACCCGTAACAGTCCCATTTAATAGCACAAATTTTCAGACATCTTTACCAGTCCATAATATCATTATTCAGAGGGGCCTAGCACCAAATTCTAATAAAGTTCCAATTAATATTCAACCAAAGCCTATTCAGATGGCTCAGCAAACAGCTTACAATGTGAATAACTTAGGTATACAGCAGCATCATGTACAACAAGGGATTCCTTTTGCTTCAGCAAATTCACCTCAGAATTCAGTAGTTAGTCCTCATATGTCTGTTAATATTGTTAATCAACAAAACCCAAGAAAATCAGTTACTCCTCAAACAGTTAGTAATGCTGGTGGTAGTATTGTTATCCATTCTCCTATGGGACAGCCTCATGCATCTCAAAACCAGTTTCTCATACCTACAAGTCTCTCTGTCAATTCTAATTCAGTTCATCATGTCCAGACCATAAATGGACAACTTCTTCAGACTCAACCTTCCCAGCTAGTTTCTAGCCAAGTATCTGCTGAGCATGTTATGCTGAACAGGAACTCTACAAACATGCTCAGGGCCAACCATTCATATTCAGGACAGATGCTGAATAATCAGAATACAGCTGTTCAGTTAGTTTCAGGACAGACATTCACAGCTCCTGGAAGCCAAGTTATAGTAAATCATGGAACTTCTCAAATTGTTGGTGGACAGGTGCCATTACAACAGGCATCACCAACAGTGTTGCATTTATCACCTAGTCAAAGTAATGTTTCTCAAGGTAGATCCGGTTTTACTACAATGTCACCTGGACAATCTACAGTCTCAAATATATCAGCATCTAATCGGTTTACTGTTGTAAGTTCTTCTGGCACAATACATAGCCTGGGGCCACCAGTTCAGTCTATTGCAACAGGAGGAAATTTTACTGGAGATCAACCTACACAGCAGAACAGAACACAGGTTTCAGTGAGTGTATCACATCGTCTTCCAGTTTCCTCTTCTAAATCTATCAGCACTTTCAGCCACACAGGAGTAGGAGTAACACAACAACAGTTCACTTATGCTCAGGTATGAATACCTTTTAAGTACCAACTAAACTGCACAAAATGTTTCTAAAGCATTCCCTTTTTCTGTGGTGTGGGAGGACATTAATTGGTAGTGTTTTTTTAATACCTTTAAATATTCTCATATTACTACGCTTTCATTAATTGTTTTACAAACAGATATTGTTGATCTACTGAGAAAATATCTAATGCTGCAACAACGTAATCTAAAAACATTTTTGAATGTTTCTTGATGTTGAGGGAATCTATCATTCCCATTAATTTAGATAGTCTTGCTTTGTTGATTAGTAGTGGGATTTTCAAAGGTGTTCACCATGGGCCTATTTCTGCTTCCCATGAAATCAGAGTTTTAACTGAGCCAACTTTGCATTTTGAAAATTGCACTGTTAGGGTATGTCTACACAGTACCCAAAACTTGAAATAAGATACGCAGTTTGCGCTATGCAAATTGCGTAGCTTATTTTGAGTCTATTTTGAAATCGATTATTTCGTCATTTGGCGATGTCTACACAGCACCAAATTTCAAAATAAAGCACTATTTCGAGCCATCCCTTACTCCTCATAGAATGAGGTTTACAGAGATGGCGAAATAGTGCAAGCGCTATATTTTGAAATAGCGAACATGTTAAAAAGATGTGGGTGTAGCTATTTCAGGATACCTCTGGTATCCTGAAATAACTTTGCTGTGTAGACATACCCTTAGAGTCATAAGGCAAAACTCTGGCATGTGCTAAATACCTGACTGTCATTTTGACTTCAGTGAGAATTATGCATGCCTAAGAGCCTCACAGCATTTGGTCCACAGAAATTGGAAATTGAAAAGATGCTCTAAGCCATTTCCCTGCCAGCATAGAATTATTCCCTACAACATTCTTTATTTAGTACTCTGTTCAGTATGGTTTTTAATGTCTTAATCAGTTTGGATTTTCAATTTTGAAGTTGGGGCAGAGAGTTGTCTACACTCGTTGTGTAGATGATTGAAAGAGTCACAAAGAGCTTAATTTCATGGAGCTCTTTAGAGAGAAAAAATCTCTTACCAGTTGTGAAAGAAAAGCCTTATAAATGCCATCTTCTGTAAGAGATAAATAAAATTAAAATAGTGATATTCTATGCAACTATGAATCAGAAACTGCATATGTGTTTTGGGATGGGGAATTAAGCTGGATTGATTTGTGGTGTGGGGGCAATAAGTGAATGAATAGTCTCATTTGATCAACAGTGGGAATTTACACTAGTTCTGAAATCAGCTTACAGTTATGGTAAAATGGTGACGTAAGGTAACTGTTTCCTTATACACTTGTGTTATCTCTTGTTCACTGTTCTTTGTGAGGAGCATTGCTTAATTTTTTTCCAAAGGAAAAAAACTTGCTAAAAAAAGGATGAAACTTTTTTAAATAGCTTTTAAAAAAAATATAAAGATGTGTTGTCAAGGGGACCAGATTTTTTCTGAGTCAGAGTTTTTACATTTTGTGTGCTGATTGTGTGCAGACCTGCATACCTGTTCTTTTTTGAGGTGGCCTCTATACTTTCCCACTTGTCAGATGAAAACTCTGTGAATTTGGAAAAGCTTTGTCCATTGGAGCCACCCAAAAACACTCTCCTGTTAGCACTGAAAATTCTGGGTCATAAATTCTGTAGTCCCACCTATTCCAGTTCTTGTCTATGATTAGCTCTAGCTTTTTTTCAATGCCCTCAGCCATATTTTTAATTTCAAGCTACTCTTATTTTTCTGTTAAATTATATTTTAATTGATTATTTGTGTTAGGGTATGTACCATTCTGAGGACCAGAAACCTTGAACAGCTTGTGAGACCCTCACAAGTTAAGAACATGCAGGTACCACTTCCAAGAGGAAAAAAGTAGTTACTTAGCTATCGCACAAAGGATAACTTTCTATACAATGTCATCTTCCTTAGTGTTGTACTCTCATGCAACTCTTCAAATTTGTATATTTAGGACAGTGGCGTTTATAGAGCTAGTACTGAAGGCACTTATTATGCTGGGTAGGGCTGGATAGTCTTTTTTTTTTTATGGGGATATTGTACAGTAGTGTTGGAGATTTCCTTCCTTAGCTGTGGAAGGGCCTCCCATAACATTTCAGCATTCTAATGCTGCCAGTTCTGTTTGTTGATAGGACAAATAAAAGAGCCAGGTAATTACACAGGAAATGTTATACATCAGTAATCGGTGTGTTTTTGAGGACTACATGGCACTGTGCGTTAGAACACAAGAAAGCTCCTTTTAGCCCAGTATCCTGTCTTATGACAGTGGCCAATGCCACGTGTCATAGAGGCAATGAACAGAACAGGTAATAATCAAGTGATCCATCCCCTTTACCCAGGGGCGGATGAGAGTTTTGCGGGGCCCAGAGCAGCACAATATCGCGGTGGCCCCCCTTTGGAGAAAAAACAAAAAAGGGGTCCCCCCTATGCCCTTTCCTCCAGTAGCCCCGCATTGATTATGTGAGCTACCCTCTCCTTATCCCCTCTCCTAACACCTCCCTCTACACACCTGCCCTGCCTCTCTCCTCCTGGTGCTGGTCCCTCCCCTGCAGGTGTCTGCCCTTCTGCTTCACCCCCAGAATCCCCTGGCACCTGCACCTTCCCTTACCTCTGTACCCTCCTGGTGCCTCCCCCTTCCCTCACTGCCCCTGCGCCCTTTGCCCTCTTTTTCCCTGATGCCCACCCCCTCACCACTCTCTGCCCCCATTCCCCTCATGCCCCTGTGCCATCACACATGCCTTGCTCCATCCCCGCCTTCCTCACGCCCACCCCTCCTTTCAAGCCTTCTCCCAGCACCTCTCCCTCCCTCCTTTAGCCTCCAATGCCCTTACCTTCTCCTCTCCCAGCATCACCCTGTCCCCCCTCCCACTAACACCTCCTCTCCTGCCCTTTTCCTCATTGTCTCCACTTGGCCCCCTGGCATTTGTCTCTCCTCCTCTTTCTTCTCCTGACCTCCCCCGGTCCCCTCAGCACAAGCCCCTTCCTCTGCCATCCACCTTCTGCCTTCCAGTGTGCAGGGTGGTGGCGGCTCCGGCCCGGGCTCCAGGCGCCAGGCCATGTGCCAAACCATGCGGTGCAACGCTGGGCCGCATGGTTTTAAAGTCCCAGGCTGTGGCATTGCGCCACATCACGCCCGGGCGTCTCCGCCACACATGCGCTCCCTCGGCCCCACGTGGCCCGTACTGGTCAGCACCGGGGAATTTCAAAAGTGCAGGGCTGCGGCGCCCTGCCACAATCCCCCCCTTCCTCCTCCAGGAGCCGCTGGCCTGCCCTTCAGCAGAAGGCCCACCGGGAAATTCCTGGTATCCCGCCAGGCTAGTCCGCCCGGTCGCTGGCGCGGGGCCTATTGAGGCGTGGGGCCCGGGGCAGCTGCCCCGCTCACCCTGCCCTATGTCCGCTGCTGCCTTTACCTATTCCAAGCTTCTGACAGGCTAAAGACACCATTCCTGCCCATTCTGGCTAATAGCCATTGACGGACCTATTCTCCATGGAATTGTCTAGTCCTTTGTTTAATCCTATTAAAATCCTGACCTTCACAATATCCTCTGACAAGGATTGACTGTATGTGGTGTGTAGAAAATCTTTGCTTTTTTTGTTTTAAACCTGATACCTATTAATTTCATTTGGTCATTCCTAGTCCTAGTAGTATTATTATATGTCAGAGCACAAAGTATAGAGGAGAAGGTAGTATAGGAAAATAATTAATTTCCAACCAGTCAGCACCACAGGATTATTTTTCATGTTTGGGAATCCAAATTTCATTAAAATATCACATCGCAACTATTAGTTGCTATGTGTGCCCGCTCATCTGAGATTTAATTTTTTAAATAACCGTGTTTCTCTCTCTTTCTCTCTCAAAATTTCTAGCTGTGGGGGTAATTGTGTTGGTACTAAGAAAAGTAAAACTAGACTTACTGCTATCATGCCACAGTTAACCTTCAAGATGATGAACTGCTTTAGAAGACTTAGATTTGGAGGGAGAGTTCTTTGAATGAAAGTGGCCTATATAGAGAAAATATAACTTAGTAAGAAATCTCCTCAGAATAAGTGAGTATGTAGTGAAAGCTTAGTTATGTTTTTTTTTTTTTAATAATCGGGGGAAAGCGTTGAGCTAAGTTGTAGGTTTCTTTTTTGCATTGTTACTAGGTCTGTTAAAATGTTCACACTATCCTTTATCTCCCTATTGCATGTTCACAGGCTCAGAAAAAAGTTATGAACCAGTCCTCACCAGTTTCTGCATCGAAGTCACAGGATAGCTTGAGACAACCTCAGCTAACAGGTCTTCTGAGTAACACATTGCCAGGTCAGATAAAGTCTTTTCATGATGGTTTCACCAATCCCTGTGACAACTGAAGTGGATTCTCCTTTGTTATGTCAGGTGTTGACAGATGATCTGTGGTGATAGGGGATCCTAAAGATTATTATGTTTCCCCTCCCTCCATTTGAGGAACAACAGTACCAAGCCCACAGACTTCATCTTTAGCAGTTGGTCATATGGTCTGTTCCTAACAAAGATTGTTAGTAATTGTCTAATTTTATTTGCTAGAATCATAGACAAAGATGTACTTGTGCAATGAGCAATCAAAAATCTTTTTCCACAATCCAAGTGTGTCATCAGTGTGCTGTATTTAAGCTCCTTTCATGTAGGAAGTGAGAATTATAAATTCGAGTTATGTCTTTCAGACTTCCAGTCAGCCTTGTGTAGTAACCACTCAAATTACTTCCCATTTTATCTTTACTGGCACAGGTTGTCTTGGAAGCTAATCAACAATTATTGTTTTATAAAGAAAATGTAAATATCAGTTTCCAGTTAGTGTGATGCACTGAACATAAGAATATATTAAGTAGGTTCTTGAAATGGTAGTATTCTGATTACAAATGTAAAGTTCCTATGAAATGTCAATAGACTTCTAGTTCAAATTTTATTTAAGACATTACAATGAATGTGCATGTTATACACCTTGTTTCTGTACAAAGTGTAGCAATACTATTTGTGTTACATTTGTGATGGGTGAGTTGGACTAAAGGAATTCCTCTAAATTGTACAGCAGGACAGTCAGATGGGAGACTACCCATCTGAATTTGTAACAGTGTGAGATCTGGTCACTCATTCACAAATGTTTATAGTGCTGCTGCAGAGTCTTGAGTTTAAAATTTTGGTGAACTATTAATAAAATGATTCAGTTTATCTTTAAAAAAAATGTCTTCTGGGATGATGCTTACGATATTTGATTTTTTTTTACTTTGTATTATTGTTTTAAGAGCAATGAGTAATAGAATCCTTTTAATGTGTACTTTTACAGGACAAGATTCTGGAAGTAAAATCATGCAGCAATCTTTAGGAGCAACACAGCAGGAAAAACTACTGGGATTGTCTCCTGTTCAACAAAATTTGCAGGTTGGGAACATTTTTCAGTTAACCTGTTTTTTCTTAATTTTAATGAAGATAAGGTACCAAGAACAGTGTAATAATTAATAATCTCCTATATGTTGTTCTTATTGATTCTTATCCTAAACATAGTCATTAATCTTCCAAAAGTATGCTTTGGTGGGAGGAAAGAAAGTTGTTTTCCAATACCATAGCGATGTTTCAGGAGCCGTTTTACAGTTTTAAACCTTTAAAAACAAAAACCTTTTTCTATTTTCTAAATGAAAATAAAGATAGCAGTCTGAAGGCATGTCTACACTGGGCAGTTATTTCAAAATAATTCCCCTTATTTGGAAATAACAAGCAGAGCATCTGCACTACCAAGCCAGTTATTTCAAAATAATAACTCCTGCTTCTTCTTCAAGAGATGTCCCTGTGGGTGCTCCACATTAGGTTGGTGTACCATCGCCAAGCATCAGAGTGGAGATTTGATAGCAGTGTCCCTCTGGCCGTGCACTGGCAGCCATGCACTGTTAGGTTGCAGGCATCATGCATGCGCGAGCCCCTTCTTCCCCCTCAGTTCCTTCTCTACTGTCTCTGGCTACAGATGGACTCAGCAGTGCTCCTTAGCTTCTTTGTGTCTTCATGATTATATGTCTTTAAAACCAGTCAGTTATATTGTAGTAGTTAATTACTTATTTGTTAATTAGTTAGGTAGTTAGTTTAACAAAAAAACCTAAAAAACCCCCTAGATTAATTTAGGGGGTTTCTCCTAGTTAACTCCTTCCTGCAGTTTATGACTGCTTTCACAGACATGCCTGGCTCACTGGGGTTTAAGCGCTGGACATCGTGTAAAGAGCCTATCCCGATATCAGATGGTCATTCACAATGTGTCCGCTGCCTCGGAGAGCAGCATAACTCCCCAAAATGTCCTCATTGTGCAAGTTAAAATCACAGGCGCAGAAAGACAGAGACCTCCGCCTCAAGCTATTTTTACTTGAAAACTCTCTTAGACCAGCTTCTGTCCTAGGCCAACAGCCCAAGGAACATATACAGTGTGGAACCAAAAAGCCCGCCAAAAAGTGAGCCTCCTCATTACCTCAAGGAGCTATGGCACTGAAACAGCTGTCTCCCTCACGGCAGGTGCGAAGGGCAGCGGCGGCACCGTGCTCTAGCACATATGACACTGTGAGCGTCTCCGGAATCCCCAGCGCAGATAAATAGCGGGCATACGCTAAATTGCGCTCTGAGGCATCAGGCTTCAAGTTGCCTGCCTCATTAGCTGTGGCACCATCCGGCATTGATATAATCTTGCCGACGAAGCATGAGAGTGCGGCGCCAACCATGTTAACAGGCGCCTCAGTCCTCATCACAGTGACACCTGATGCGGCACCAGTTTCTTCTTCGAGGAGTGTCCCCATGGGTTCTCCACCTTAGTTGCTTCAGTGCCGCTGGGCTCAAAGCTGGAGATTTGTGACAGCAGTACCCAGGCCGGCAACGCATGCAGGGAAGCCTGTGTGTGTGTCCTGAGGAGGCTACTGTGCATGGGTGGCCAGCCCCCCCATCTCAGTTCCTTCACTACCTCTACCGGCTGTGGTCACAGTTCAGCAGTCTCTCCTTCACCTTACTTAAGACCGTCTTCTTTGTATATAGTTATCTTTAGATAAGTTCAGTTATTGTTATATTCTTAGGGATAGTGATTGTTAGATTCTTAAACTTTCAACAACAACAACAAAAAGAGAGACAGAGAAGCGGCGATCGCCTCACTCAGGTAGCAGTGCTTAACTGTTGTGCGCTACTGCAGACCCTCCGGGACGTGCTGGAGATTCAAAAGGTGTACCACCTGCAAACTTTCCATCTCAATTTCTGACGGCCACAATCAGTCCCTCCATAGTCTCGGGCATCATCACGCATCAAACAACTTTCCACACTATCTAAAGGGTGAGGAAGCTTCAATTAAAAATGTCCAAATAGAGAACGGCTCAAGACCACCCACTGATTCTGATCAATCCACCCCTCTCAGACAAAGATCACTGGGACGGGGTCGGAAAGAGCGGCTCCCATGGGGTCGAGCCAAAAGAAACGGAAGAAGAGTAGCTTTACGAAAAGTTCCTACTCCTCTGGGACTGAGTCGCCATCAAGGAAGCGATCAGCCCAGGCTAATGCTGCAGCTCCACCCCAGGCAAAGGGGTCAGACAAGCAGCAATCTAAAGGGACCGGTAAGGAGAGTGGCCGAGATCCCAAGCACACACGCCGTGCGTCAGACAAAGCTCTGACAGGAGCAAACAGCAAAGCTTCCAAGTCAGCACCAGCAGAAAAAACAGTGTCAACACCCGAGGTGTGAAACAAACAGCGCTCACACACAGCACCCAGCCAGAGCACAATACCTGACATGGCACCGCTGGTACCGACAGCTTGGTCAGAATGGCTTCTCTCTCTGTTAGTGCAACTATTAACGCCTCCTGCCCTTCTATACCACTTGTTCCGCTCCCGATGCCTCAGTTCACAACAGCAGCTGAACTGACAGTTCACTCGGTACTGGGGACTCCCCTGTCCGGTACCGACCGTAATCCGAACACATTGCGGGGCTCTCTCTCAGCCACTCCAGTCAGTTCTATAGCAGCAAGCTTTAGCAATGATGAGGAGGACATACATAAACCACCTCACACGCCAAGGCATTATCCTCATAAGCCTCTGCAACAGACTCAGCAATGGTAGCCACCACAGTGGATGCCACCACTGGTCATGCCCAACTGGCCATATAGGGATCTTTGGGCTTGCTACAGACAACAACATTCCACACAACAATATCTACCCGTGACACCAAGGTCCCAGGCACCAACCATACAGTCCACAGAGTGTTACAGCTCAGGCACAGACAAGCAGGATGGAGATGTTATGGGGGAGGAACACAGTCCACCCTCCTCTCCACCCGTACACACTTCAACCACGTCACTTGATGACGCGATAATGCCTGCACCATCAACAATAGGGGATGATACTAAAACGTTCCAGGAACTTTTCAAGAGAATGGTAGAGGTCTGGGAGAGCCTTTCTCAGATGCTCCACTGATGCAACATAAGCTCAAAAGCATTTTCCAAATGTCTCTCCATCCAAAATTAGCCATCTCCATGAACGAGGCTCTTATGGATCCGGCCAAAAGCGTATGGAGCATTCCAGCCACAATCTCACCAATCTACAAAAGAATGGACAGAAAATACTCCCAAGGGAGCAGAAATCCTGTTCTCCTACCCAACACTGAACTCTCTGGTGGTAGAAGCAGTCAATCAAAGAGGAAGACAACAAAATATGCATACTGCTCCCAACGATTGGGATTGGAAGCGGCTAGATACGATGGGAAAGAATCATCAGCAAGCCTGCAGATCAGAATAGCCAACTACGCTGCATTATTAGCAAAATATACACACCACATATTTTATCAACTAGCGTCCTTTATTGATTCCGTTGAAGACACAAAGACAGAACAATTCAAAGCAAACATTAAAGAGGGTACAGTTATAGGGCACACAGCTATACAAAATGCGCTAGACTCAGCACACAGCAGCCAGATCTTCAGCCTCAGCTGTGGTTATGAGGAGGGCATCGTGGCTTCATCTCTCAGGCTTTCTGAGAGAGGTTCAAACCACTGTAGAGGACCTCCTATTTGAGGGCACGAAACTATTCACGGAGTCCACAAACACATCCTTCCACACTCTGAAAGATTCAAGGGCCACAATCAGAATGTTGGACATCCAAGTACCTGTCATAAGGAGACAATATAGATAATTCCAGCAAAGATACAGACCTCCAACATTTAACCAACAGCAGAGACATTTTGATAATAGACATAGACAGCATCAAAATAGACGGAGACAGACATCTGAACAGCCTTCCAACCAGCAACCATCGTCATCCAGATAACAGATTTGAAGTCCTGGTCAAGGGTCTGACAACCCCGGAATTTCCAAGGCAGCAAACAGAATCATCTATGCTATTTGGCAACAGACTAGTCAGCTTCTATCCAGCCTGGTCTGCCATCAGGTGGGTGTTAGAAATCATAAGAACCAGCTACTGCATTCCTTTCACAACTGTTCTCCCATCCTACTTTTTCAGGGACCCCTCTCACAGGAACTTACTCTTGCAAGAGGCAGAACGCCTCATAGCTGTAGGGGCTATAGCGGAAGTCCCCAAACAACATGGACAAGGGTTTCTACTCCCATTATTTCCTTACCACCAAGAAGTTGGGGGGCTGGAGACCCATTTTGGATCTCCGCAAACTCAACCAGTTAATCAAATACCAATTCTTCAAGATGGTTATGCTGGCTACAATTATACCTGACCTGGAAAAAGGAGCATGGATGTCTACCTTTGACCTACAGGATGCCTATTTCCACATATCAATTCATCCATCACACAGGAGATTCCTCCATTTCACTATATAGCACAGGCAATTTCAATACAGAGTGTTACCGTTCGGACTTTCGACAGCCCCACGAGTTTTTTCAAAAGTAATCGCTTCCCACTTACCCAAAAACCCTTACGATAGTCCCTTGCCTGGATGACTGTCTAGTAACGAGCTCTACACAACAAGATATACAGCAAGCAGTCTCGACAACCAGAACCCTCTTCGACAAATTAGGTCTACTGTTAAATGTGCCAAAATGTGCCTTGTCCTCTACTCAAACACTGGAATTCTTAGGGGCACACCTAGACTGCATGAAAGACTAGGGCCTACCTACCATACCGCAGATTGCTCTCACTTAGGCTCCCCATAGAAACAGCGCAGGCAAGTCCATGCACAACAGCATGATCATGCCTACAAATACTGCGGCAAATGGCAGCATCCACATTTGTAGTACCTCATGCTCGATTATGCATGCGACCACTTCAAGCATGGCTACGCAAAACCTACCGACCTCGTGTTTATCTTTTGAGCAAAAGCCTTACTATGCTCAACAAGATAAAAGCCCTCCCTTGCATGGTGGACAATACACAACAACATATGTGTAGGAGTCCCCTTCCAACGGATT